GAATTCCATAGTTTTGTATGATATTATGGGGGAGCCAGGGTAACGAGCTTCTTTCTTTTTAGTTTACTATATTTCTAAGTCATTTTTTCCTCGTTGTTCAAGGCAGTTCACAAAAAATAGGTTGTTGCTTCACGACAGAAAGCCACCCCAGTTAAGCCAGTAAAAAAAGAGAACATCTTCACAAATACATCCTCCTTGACCTATTCATTTCATCCCCAATGGGTATCAAGTTTATTGAGAGTATAACCAGCTGTTCATAAACAGCACATTTATGCACCCCACAGGGCTGCTTTGAGGATAAAATGGCAGAGAGGGCAATGGTGCAAAATGCTTTTAGGTCCCCACCGGGGAGAAAAGTGAGGTATAAATGAAGCAAGTAAATGGATATAAAATAAACACATTCAGTCCGCACGTATCCACAAAACATTTTCAGGTTGTTCCAGTTCATTTACTAACTTCATTTACAGCCTGCCTTTCCTCACTGAGACGCAGGGTGGATTACAAGACTTGGAGAATAATGCAATGAGAAGCAGCATAATACATACCATCAGCAAAGTAATAAAACTGGAATACGGCATCGGACAACAATAACAGCAGGTGCCATACAATGAACAGTCCAATTAACAAAGTACACAGTATATCATCACTCCCTGTCCCCTTCCCAATCGTCACATGTAAACCGTGAGTAATAGCACAACTGTTTGTGTCAAGGAACCTGTCAGCTTCCAGGGGGTTCCGAGAGCGAGACTGGGGTTGCTCTGCCCTCTGGGGTTCCTTTCTCTAGGGAGGCTTTCAGGAAGGCCTTAGAAAGCAAATATGGGGGGGGGAACAATACTCCCTCTAAGCTATGGAGTCTTGTGAGCAAAAATTCTACTTTGTGAGCTACTGGCATTAAAGTTGCGAGCGAGTGATTTGGCTGCTGCATAGATTAGTTTGCTCTGGAGCCATCCTTCCTGAGCGAAACAAAAATGTGTGAGCCCGAGGCTAAAAAACTGAGCTAGCTCAGACTAACTCAGCTTAGAGGGAACACTGGGGGGTTGGACTAGATGACCTGGAGGTCCCTTCCGACTCTAGGATTCTGCCTCATCCTCCTGCTGTGGTAAAAGCGGGTTGGGCAAAGCGGGCACCACGAGACAAAACCGTGGCATGCACACCGGAGGCAACTGACCTGCCTGCTGCTTCTCACTTCAAGGCGATGCCACTTCTTGTCTGAAACATTCACATAGCTAGGCAGATGCAACTCCACCGGGCCCAAGCCATAGTTTAATTTCAGGACTGGAATGCCACAGGAAACTTCTAGAGATGATTGTGAAAGAAAAAGTACAGAGTTAGACATTGTTTTATGACCACCTCTCATCCAAACTTGAGCACCTTGGTCCAGTTCTACACAAAAAAAGGAGGGTGAACATTCTATGCCAAATGATATAAGTGGCAAGGAAGGAATCAGGAAAGAGCCTGTTAGTTCACACAGCTGAGTAAGATCTCACAGAGTTTGTCTCCCTCTCTGCACAGAGGCCAGGGTGCCCCCAGAGGTGTGAGTCAAAGGGCTCTTTGCATTAGGCCGGCCTCGGACCTGGGCTTCTGGTCAGCCAGTGGAGAGAGAAGAGCTGTTGAATCATTGGAAGCCTCCCCCTCCTTTTCTTGTTTGGTTTGTTATTTTTTCTGTGTGCATTGTTAGTGTGCACTTTGGGTCCCCCCTGAGAGAAAACCTGAATATTAATATGCTACATAAATACATACATAAATATCACAACATACGATACAAACCAGGACCGATGTAGAACTCTGGAGAAGAAGGGATGGAAGAGGAGAGGAAGAACAGAGACAATCTCCCCTCCTTGTTCCCTGCCATCTCCACCCATGCTCATCAGTTCCATGGAGCCAATTCTGGAGACACCTGCAGTGCCCCTGCTTGTTACAGCCAGGGAGCACTTGCATAAAGGAGTGGCGGCAGCAGGACTTCAGCAGCTGACTCGGCTGCTCCTAGCTTACCAACTCAATCAAAGAGACTCTGACAGGGCTTTTTTTGTAGAAAAAGCCCAGCAGGAACTCATTAGCATAATAGGCCACACCCAACAGCAGAAACTAATTAGCATATTAGACCACACCCCTGACGGTGCAGCTAATTAACATATTAGGCCACACCCCCATGCCTTCCCTTGGCATGCCCGGGCGCCTCGCGGCTGTGGGGAGCACGGGCAAGCCAACCCTTGAAGGGAAGGGAAGGTAGTTTAAACTGCCTTCCCTTGGCTTGCCTGGGTGCCCCGCAAGTCAGGCCTTGGACTTCCAGGCCCCTCCTGGCCCACCTGCCTCAGAATCGCCGGGGTGTGTGTGTCGCTCTCCAAGCCTTCCCTCTGTAGCCACACACACGCAGAGGTTTCGGCTGTAGGCGTGGCTAACTCGGAAGCCAGCCGCAACTCCGTTCCTGTGCGTTCCTGCCCAAAAATAGCCCTGGGTCACTCTGACGGTGATGGCTGTCCACAGAACTAACTCCCTGGAGCCAAGTTTGGAGAAACCGACTTCTAGCACTTTCCAGCTTGAACACAGTGCTCCAGCCCTCATGACAGATTAAGGAAGCAAGCAATGTGAGCTCGTTCTGTTCTCCATTTTGGTCCTCGGGCCGCTGTCAAGGACTTCTGTTGCACTCATTCCCTAGCAACAAGATGCTCAAGTCATACTAACCTGTTCCTCTCTAAAACCACCACGGGCTGTGCTAGCCTGAAGGCAGACGGCCTTAAGGGGCTTGGGCGGAAGTTCACCTCAGAAGATGCCCTTCAGCTCCTCTTCCCCAAGGCCAGTTCTCACTATTGCCGCTAGATACTTTAAGCCGTGGTGAGAAAGTTCCTGTTTTCCAGTCAGTCAGCAACCAAGCTGTGGAGTTTACTGCCAGTGGAAGCAGTAACAGCCACGGACACAGAAGGCTTCAGAAGTGGGTTAGACAGATTCTTGGAGGAGAGGTCCATCAATGGTGAGTAAAAGACGAGTAAAGGGAACCTCCACATCCAGAGGCAGTAAACCTCTGACACCCAGTGCTAGGAGGCCACGTCTGGGAAGGCCTTGGCCTCTGTGGCCTGTTTGCTGACCTTGCAGGTTTCTCACTGGAAATGACATCACATAATTCTAATTCCACTTCCTGGGGAAAGAGACTGTGGGCAACAGCTGCAAGGGTCCTTCCACCAGTCACTGTTGACCTAACCCATCCAACCTAATTTCCTGCAGGAAGTCTTCACCAATGGGTCCCGAAGCTCAGATAGACAGGTGATTCGATCCAATGTAAAATTAAATTCCATCACAAACCTACACATTTTATATCACAATGTGCTGGAAATAAAAGGAAGCAACTCTGCAACAGTAATTTCTTTCGTTCGGTTTATCCTGTATTAATACAGTGGAATTACACTCAATTCAACAACTCAAAATAGTTTTTCTCTTTTCTTTTTAAAGCACTTTTTGGGGGAGTGTTCAGGGAAGACAGCCTGGGGAGAGAAAAGCTTTTTAGAAGACAATTTTCTGTTTTCACTGAGCCACATAAAAATAACATGCAAGTAGGACTTCATTAATCATGTAATACCTGCCTCCAAAGTATTTGAAAAACTTGAAGCAATAGATGCTTCCCAGTGGGATCCTTTTGATGGAACCGGCTGCTTTGTTTTCTCTTTGATTATACCAGCTCTGAGAAGGACCCAAGACACTCCAACCGGAAGGCACCAAAGCTACCCACCAAGAATATGATGCACATTTGCTGTCCATTCTTTTCTTTTTTTTAAAATCACTACCATTAACAGTGAGAATAAGGTCCTACACTGGTACCCTTCCAGGCTAACAATGCCCAGTTTGGCACTGAGAAAAATCCAAACTCTGTATCAAGGGAATCCTGGTAATAAGGGTACGTTATGCAAATCCAAGGCTGAAGAATGCAAATTTTTCACAACTCTGTCCATGTGAATTACAAAAATTATTTCACTCTTCAGAAACAGCCCAAGAGAATACAGCACATATAAAAATACATTTTAATTATGTAAAAATTATATAGCATGGATTTTGCAAAAAAAAAAAAAAAAACCCACCACCCAAAACTTTAATGTAGGTCTATACTTTAGAGAACCGGAGAAACACAGTGGCTAAGAGCGGGTACAGTACTGTGGCCTAGGAAGTCCAGAAGTTCAACTCTGCCATGAAGATGGTTGTCCCCATCTTGGATGATTAATATAGGTATAGCACCGTATTATTGGAAGGTTTTATTGTGATTTTAAATGTTCTTGCTTAAGAACACATCACGAGGTGTTGTTGTTGCTGCTATTGTTGTTGTTGTTGTTGTTATTATTATTATTAATAATAATAATAATAATAATAACAACAACAACAACAACTCATGATGTGTTCTTAAGCAAGCTATTATATTCTCAAACCCTATATCCAAGAGAAGGGACATGGCGTGACTCTGGGGGCACATCACAGACTTTGGCATGCAGAGGGCCCCAACTTTAACCCCCAACACCTCTGGTTGTAGGATCTCAAGTACCAGATCTTTGTCTGCCTGAGACCTGCAATAGCTGATGCCCATCTGCGTAAGGCCATACAGTGCTAGAGGAGTCAATCCTCTGGCTCCATATAAATCAACTTCATGTGTTCCTTTCCTTTTATTTCTGCAGCTAAGCAAAGTAAAGTCTGCACTCAGAAGAAATTATGCAAAAGGTGAGGAAGAATGACACTAGTTCTCTCAACTCCTTTATTATGAGCTTGAAAATTTTATTTTGTTTCTGCTAAGGAGCAGTGCTGAGACAGCAGCTAAGAGACAATAAGAGTAGCTAAATATAAAGATGGGAAATGGGTAGTCCAGGGTTCTCCAATGTGGTACCCAAGGGCCACAACACCCATCTGTACCTCCCTTGGCAGAACCAAGCTTTTCAAAATAATTGGTGGGGCCACTGTAAAGCAGGACTTGTTACTGACTGTCCTTATTCAAGTGAAAGGGTTATGTATCAGAGGATCCATAGGACTGGTAAGCACCTGGGCTTTCCTTAGTCAGTGTGTGGTTCCACCACCACCCCACCCTCCCCGCTCAGGTTTTCCTTCTTCCCAGAAGGTGTGAAAAGGGAGGTATTTCCATTTGGCTCCACCTCCTCCAGCAGCCCTTTTGGGTCAGCCCTCAACACCGCCTCTCAAAATTCCAAAGGTACCTGCAGGCTCAAAAAGGTTTGGGACTCCCGGTGTAGTCATTCAGCCCATAGCAGAGGAGGAACATGTAGACTCAAAACTCAATCTCTGGCTCCCTAAACATTGGAATATTTTGCAGACATGCACCCCAAGGTCTCATCTCTATAAGAGTTTTCCATTTCAGTAAAGAGATCCCAGCCATATACACCTAATGAAACATACACAGCTCAAGTCCCTCCACTGGCATGAATGAACATCTCGGCATGCACACGTCTTCAAAATATATCATCGCAACCAAGGAATGCTATGTATTTGCTCTGTTTCTTCCATTCTTATATGGGAGCTGAGGTTCTGAGTAATGTATGATAGTCTCCCAATCCTCAGTTCTTCAGAAAAAGATCCAGATGGGTAGAAGAATGGTGCAGAGCTACCAACCTCCTAGGTTTGGTTCTGGTACCCTGTCTGCTTTCACCCTTGAGATTATCTCTGTCAATGCAAGAATCCTGATAACATGCCGATGTAAACATGCCTGAATGAACAAAAGAGCTACAATAAAAGAATCCTGATAACATGCCGATGTGAACATGCCGATGGCTGCCTGAATGAACAAAAGAGCTACAATAATGGACAACACCATTTGGCTTACCAACCAATACCTGCCCCTGTCCTCCACCCCAGTAAAAAAGCTGGTAATATCATGTTCGGCTTATACAATACCTATTGCAATGAAGTGCTCTGAATTCCCAGGCCCTATCTCTGACAAAGGACCATTGTACAGCAGAAGCCCATTTGGAACATCGGTAACAAACTCCAGGGCGAGGAAGTTCTCAAAACAAGGCCTGATGGGACGGAACCACGCATAGCCATTTCCATGGAAACTGTGTTTAGTCTGCTGGCAATCCGGTCCGTGGAATGAAGTCAAACACTGGCACCTAAAACAAAACATGGAAGAGAACAAAACAGTTAAATATCCTTGGAGCACCGTGGAAGGAATTTTAGTGAATTGTATTTACTGTATTTTATACTGTTTTGTGTTGTTTTATTGTTTTAACTTCGGCATTTATGCCCCTTGTGAGCCGCCCTGAGCCTTTGGGGAGGGCGGGATATAAATTTAAAAAATAAATAAAATAAATAAATTAATTAATTAAAAACAAACTTTTACATGCAATGAAAACTGAACCTCTTCAGACATGCGCATGTATCACTTTATTTGATGGCATGATAGCTGGAACGGAAAGAGGAAACTTATGAACCGTAGGTAAGTCTTCCTCACCTGTAACCGTGCAGCATGTCAATGCAAGTCCCTCCGTTGAGACAAGGGCTGTGGGCGTAGGAGCTACACGACCGATGAACTCTCTCTCTGGCTGCGCACGTGCAGATAGCGTGGACGCTGGTTGTCATGGAGACAAGCGAGACACTTCCTGCGTCCGTCACTGTGGGGATGTCACTCACCGTGATGTAGTTGGCACAGCCGCCGCTCCCGCTACAGTCTGTCTTGTGGCATTCATCCACATCAATCTGAGAGATGTTGACTCCTAAAGCCAACTGGATCTAGAGGGGAAATGCAGTTGGGCAAAGCAGCCCGAACACTCCTTAGCAAGGACCTTTCAAGCTTCCCAACCTGTTCTCTACTTGTCTTAAGTTCTCGTTGATGTTGAGGTCTATTACAGTGAGCAATACCGACCCTCGTTTAATATCTTACCCAGATTTCCTGATGTGGTGCAGAGGAGAACATAAGAAGAGCCACGTTGGGTCATACCAAAGGCCCATCAAGTCCCGCATTTTGTTCACACAGCGGCCAACCAACTGCCTCCAGGAAGCCCACAAGCATGAGGACTGCAACAGCATCCTCCCACCCATTCTCCTCAGCAACTGGTATGAAGAGGCACTCTGCCTCTAGTAGGGCAGAGAGCAGATATCCATCATGACTAGAAGGCATTTTAACTACGTAGTATGCAAAAAAATAATAATCCAATACAGCTCCCTTTATTTAAAAGTCCACGTGGCAAAAGATTAATGATGCCACAGTAATTATTTGCAATTGGATTGTCCTGCCTACCCTGGAAACTCCCTTTGGGAATGATTGCTACGGTGTTTTGATAGCATAATATCCAATGATGTATGGAGGCAGCCAACGGCAGCAAATCAGATGCCACCGTTCCCAATGGCATCGCATGAAGGCAGAAAAAAGCTGTACAGCCACACTGGTCCGTGCACAATCGCCAAAAGAGAGCAAAATCTGTACAATAACTTTTTATTAGGAGCAGAATGACACAAAATTGACAGCTTGCACAATGTTTGGCTTCAAACCGGTTGGTCCTAATAAATAGTGTAACCCTAAACAGAGTTACACCCTTCTAAATCTACTGAAGTTAATGGACTTAGAAGGATATAACCCTACATAGGACTGTGCTGAAAAGGCACTAGTCTGATTTCGATCACATTAAGGCACCAGATATTTCATGCTTTGACCTGCCCTGCAAACACGAAAGACACCATCCTACATTGTTCAGCACACTTCTCCCATATAGCCTCTGCTCCTAGGCTTCTGCGTGCAACTTGTACATTGCAAATGCAGCATGACACCAAGCAAAGAGCAAACGTTCTGCAAGAAATCATTTCCAAAACCAGACAGCTCTCAAGAAGACTCAAGGAAAGGGGGGGGGGGAGCTGTACTTGGCGAGGGAAGGGAGAAGCCTTGAAGAATCTCTAAGCCTGCAGTCACAGGGGGACAGATATTCTTCCCTGAAGCCAAAATGGATGTTCAGTCAGCCCTGGAGTCTATAAGCAAAACCCACTTAAGTCCTTCCCTACTACCCAACCTCCTGTCTCAAATAACTGTCCCAGAAGAAAGGGAAAGACTGTACATCCCTAAAAACTCTATTTTCTACGCTTCACAAGACTGCAATCCACACAACGTCTGCCCTAATCCTAAACAATCCACTGACTTCAGTTAAGATTTCTCTGGATAAAAGTAGTTGCATGTTGAATCCTTGAACGTACTTGTACGTAACCAATATCGACACCAACCCGATTCGACAGCAAAGGCGCATCCTCACCTTATTTTTAAAAGCAGCCATCTGGCCGTGCAGTTTCTCTGGCCTGTAATAGGAAGACCCATCATGAACAGCCAGCCGCACGTCTGTCTGTCTCCCATCCACATCCATCACACTAAATACAAGGACGTCATCACGAGGGACCGAGAGGATTCCGGCTAGCAGGTCCTTCAGCTTGTCGCGTCTGCTTTCTTCAAGCTCGTCTTTCCTGATGAACTCTTCTGCAGTCATGTCTGATACGGAGAAATGTTTCAAGAAAAAGAGCAACAATCGCCATGAGTGTCTTGAGAGCCATGCCATTAACCGCTTTCACTCAAACTTAACGAAAGGGGCCATTTCACACTTTCATGGCATTTTGGTAGTGGAGAGCACCACCAAGTCACAGCTGACTTAAGGTGGCCCCATAGGGTTTTCAAGGCAATAGGCAAATACAGGTGGGCTTGCCATTGATAGCCTTGGCACAGAAACCCTGGACTTCCTTGGGAGTTTCGCTTCCAAGTAACTACCAGGGACGACCCCGCTTAACTCCCATGATCTGACAAGATCAGGCTTGCCAGGGCCATACCGTTTTACCCCCAACTATATACAGCATTCCGTGCGCCTTGGTGTTTAGTCATGCCAGCCACATGACCACGGAAACGTCTTCGGACAGCGCTGGCTCTTCGGCTTTGAAACGGAGATGTGCACTGCAACCCTAGAGTCGGATTCGACGGGCTTTCGAGCAAGGGAACTTTTACCTTTACCTATATACTCAGCAAGCAGCCACGGCCAACAGGGTTGACTCCAGTTGCGGGGAGGACTAGAAAAGACGCTCCACAGGGGCATCCTCTACAAAGCACCCAACACACTCTTGTGTCCCATGTGTACATAAAACCCCTTCTGCAGGAGGACTGGAGCTTCTCTTCTCCTTAACTCCTTTAAGCCCCGTCAACACTGGCAAAGTTAACTGTAGCAAAATAGAACAGGTGCCCAGTCATGCCCTGAAGACTAGCATTTATTCCAGTAGATTCAGGTGAGGTAGCCATGTTGGTCTGAAGCAACAGAACAAAATTTGAGTCCAGTGGCACCTTTAAGACCAATTTTTTAAAATTTAAGATATAAGTTTTCATGGTCATGTACACTTCTTCAGATACATTGAAATGGAAGTTACCAGTCCATAGCCTCTACCTATATGTATGGACTGGTAACTTCCACTTCAATTTATCTGAAGAAGTGCGCATGCACAGGAAAGCTTATACCTTGAATAAAACTTTGTTGGTCTTAAAGGTGCCGCTGGACTTGAACTTTGTTTCATTTATTTCAATATGAGCTTTCAGAAGCCACAGCTCACTTCTTCAGACATGTGAAAGGAAATCATACCAGGAATCCTACTTAAGGAAGATTATTGGGGAAGGGAGTTAAGGCAGAGAATGAATTCCATCATGAATCTTTCAAGTGTAGCTTCTGTGGGGGAGGAGGGAGTTTAAGCTGTGAATCCCATGATCAAGTTAAATGTAGCCTGAAAGAGGTACACTCTCTGCCCACGGGGTGCCTCTCCCAACAAGGAAGAGAGGTCCAAGAGAAGCCTCAGGGGAAATCTCCCTTTCTTCATGGGAGCAGAAGGGTGAAGGGTCTCTGGTAGGTATTTAATGTGACCCCCTCACAGGCAGCGGACTTAAGCAGATCCACCACCATGCCAACACTAAATGCTACTGCTGACTGGTCAATCCTGGTTCCCTGTCAAGCATCCGTACATAATACACTGGCTAGCAAACATGGTCTCATTCACATTATATTTTTTGACATCGTCCTGTATAATCTTAGGTATACACCATTAAAAAAAATGTGTGAAATGGCCCAATAATAGCAGAAAATCTTTCATTACATTTTCCAGCAATGCTGAGCCGCCTCCATTCCATTCTGCTGCAAATCACAGAAATATGAAGCCCAGGGACCATCTTCAACATTTCAGCATTTTTTTAAAAAAAAAGGTTTGTAAAGTTCATCACAGCTACAAAGCTTTAAAAAATGTACACATGGGTAAATCCCACTAAGTACTTGGAATACAGAGATACTACAAATAAGTCTTCCAGAACGTAGAATGTTCTGCACTCAGCCCCAATAGAAGTCGTCAGCCGAAGCCTTCACCTTGAGAACATAAGAGGACACAAGAGAAGCCAATGTTGGATCAAGCCAGTCCAACACTGTCACACAGTGGCCAAAAATACCAGGTGCGATCAGGATGTCCAGCAGTGGGGCCAGGACACTAGAAGCCCTCCCACTGTTGCCCTCCCCAAGCACCAAGAATACAGTGCATCACTTGCTCCAGATTTCTACACATTGTGTGTGTGCGTGCACGAGCGCACACTCGCGTGCAGAGAGGTCCTGTCCCAACAGAAACACTGCTTCCTACTTGCTCTTAGCCTCATTCCATACTCCTATTCACATCATGACCCAAAAAGAGGCCCTAAACGATAACTATTTATAAATTCAGCAAAACCAAAAACCCCACACTAGAAAAGGGAAGACCAGGCAATTTAAGGAAATCTATGCCAAACAGCACAGCTGCAGAGTCTTGGTAATACCTCTTAAAGTTAAGAGTCCTCCAAGTATAGAGCAACCATCGAGCAGAACTGACGAGTGAAACTAACCTGCCAGGCGTACCGTGGCTGAATTCCGAATGGCTTCATTCCCCAGCTCTTTGACATGTATCTGCACAGTTGCCGTAACGTCAGGCCAGATTCCATCTGACACCCTGATTTTCATCTCATATGTTCCCTGAGGAGCATTATCCACCATTACCAGAGAGCCAGTCCTTTGATTCAGCCTGAAAGATCTAGAAGCGTGATGCAAACACGCACGCACACACACACATACACAGCAAATCAATAAAAGCCTCGTGAACGAAATGCTTCACCCCCAAAAAACAGAGGTTATATTTCAGCACGTGTCAAATCTTTTTTTGCTAGAACATCTTAGGATAATATCCTTGAGAGCCAGTGTGCTGTAATGGTCATGGTGCTGGGTTAGGATATCTGGGGTCACACAACCACGCTTCCATGAAGCTTGCTGGGTGACCGCGGACCAGTCAGTCTCTCACACAGCTTAATCAAACTCACAGGCCTCCTGTTATGAGGACAAAACAAGAGAGACCCCTGTACACTGAGTTCACCAGAAGGATGGGATTAAAATGCACCAGACTGACAGAGGACACTTTTCCAGTCACAAGGTCTCATTAACATGCAAGAAAGATTAAAACGCAACGGTGTTCGCTGCATTCTGCTTCATTCCCATTTTCTCTCCACAGCTGACTAAGGGCCAGCCGCCATTGTTACTCATTTCCCCCCTGAAATCTACCTATCCATTTCTTTCCCACTTTTAAGGAATCTGAAGATCAAAGAGAAGTTGAAAGAGAAGAGGGGCAGGAAAGGAGGTTCTGAAAAAAAAACCTGGATTTTCACTCTGTAGATGCTCAGAGGCAGGAAATGTCTTCCCAAACCTTCCTATCCTCCTGCCAGGGCACCTCCCTGTGGTGTATAACATTAAACAACTGCAAAGGCTGAAGTTACAAAAGGGTGCATTGATTTCTCTTCGCAGATAAATGAAAAAGAAATCCCTCTTTTAAGAGGAAAAAAAAAGAGACTAAGAGGAATCAAGGGTTATATCTAAAAAGTGACTTTCAGAAAAAGGAAAATCCTCTCCCCACAACAATGCTAATGTTTTCTCGGGGAGTAACGCTACCAGGGAAGAAGTTATATCTTCATGACAAATCTCAGTGGAGTATATAGGAATAATACATGATCTGGTATCGTATATGCTGTCTTTCACTGGAAAAGCCTCCATAAATTTTGCATTCCCGGTCTCCCAAACATAACACAACCACCTTCAAGATGTTTTACTCACATACATCCAGCCATTCTTGTTTGTCTTTGAGTGACAGTGGCTTCGGGGCTTTACGCAGCAATTGTGTTTGCCACGAGGACATGGCGTTACATTGGCAGACCACAGCAGAGACTCACAAGTACAAAAAGATGGCCAAACGACCCTGGGCTCAGTTTGGTTAAACAAGAGTTATTTTGTCAAAAGGGGGGGGGGACCCTAAGAAATCACCTTTCCATTCCAAGCTCAACCCTGAGCCTTCCAGTTCTCAAATCATGTCATGAAGGCTAGACCAAATGGATGTCTAGCACTTTGGGAGAGGAGCTACATTTCCCGGGGTGCACCCGGTATCCCAGATGCTGTCAGAACAGCTTTCAGGAGCCAGGAAAGGCAGACTCTTTTGTCCTGCTTTTCAGCTACTTCTAACCAGCTGGAGCACAAAAGGTAGCTGCAGAAGTCAGATAAACTGGGGATGGGCAGAGGGGAGGAGGAGGAGGAGTTCCTAACTTTGGGTATGCACTGGAGCTTTCAAACTCAGAGCTGTGACACTGCACGTCAACGGAGAACACTGCAATGAGATTCCTGTTCTGAGCCCACAGAGTGCAGGACAACGTCCCTATGAACAGCACCGTTGTGCTGCTAACACCTGAATGCCTGGGCCTGTGTTTCTTGATTGGGCTACAGCAGAGGTCCCCCCATCCTTGATGACCTAGAGGGCTCTACTGGAATTTTGAGAGCAGGCAGTAGTTTGGGACCAATCAAAAATGGATGCCACGGGTGCGGGGTCCAATCACAAAGATGCTGCGAGGTGCTCCAAAATGGCGGGCAGTTCCAAAGGGAGCATCCAGTCGCTGAGGCAGCTGTTTGCAAAAGGGTGCCCCCTGCAGACACAAAGGTGATGCCTCCTGAACTCTTCTGCAGCACTTGCCGCTCCAATGAGGTGGAGGAAAGTCGGAAATGGCTCTTTGTTTTGAGGTGCTTTGGGGAAGAAGCATGCGGTCACTAATTTTTTCATTTAGTTATTTATCTTTAGATAGGGCAGACACCGTGGTACCCAACAGGCACCACGTTAGGGATCACTGGGCTATGGCTCCCCAAGCCATGTACTCAAGTGTTTACGGACATTCATCCGTCATGCCACTTTACCAAAGGGAAACACCATGGCACTCAAATGAAATGTGAAGCCACTGTTGGACTGCTTTCCTAATAGCAGTGCTAGTTCACAGCTGTGGTAACAGCAAGCCAGATACTCAACTTCACCACCCAAGTGTTCACTGGCAAATAATAATAATGATGATGATGTGTTTGTGGCGGCACAGCAATGGATCACCACTGTTCCCAACAAACGCCAAATGCGAAATGCAAGTTTAAGAGACTGTGCGAAACAATAATCCCAGCTTTACGCCTCTAACACACACACAAAGAAGCATAAGAAAATAATTACAGGAGCATAAATATTAAATATTACTGAGCTTGACACAAATACAATCCTCACTTGTGCATTTTTCCTTCAGAGACAAATGTTTTATTGTCCCAGTCATCCGGGTCCGGTGCAAACACTTCCCCAAGCACTGTTGTTGACCATTTTCCTGTTGAGATAAATTATAATAAATCTGCATTAATTTTTCCCCCCACCCTTCAACGAACTTTCTATTTCCCAGCATTTATTGCCGCATTTTATCATTTTTATTGCCGCCTGGCTTTCAGGAAGGTTATGATCCAAGACATTTCAAGTAATGCAATAGCATATAGTCTGATCTTTCATGTAAGTGCAGCAACAGGGCTAGACTACAAATGTGACGTGCAGGGACTGAGCACACTCTTCTTTAAAAAAACATTTTGGTTCCAAGTTAACCCCAACTCTGATGGCGAATAAACACAGATAAGAAAACATGGTTCTTATTATTGATGATGATGCTGATGCTGATAATGACAACAATAATGAATAGACCGTCTCTGGGAGAAGAAGGTGACCACTGTGCCAGTTGTCATTGGATCCCCTGGAGCAGTGCCTACAAGTCCCAAGAAACACCTGGGCATTCTGGGCACTGAGCAAATAACACCTGCTCAGCTCCCAAAGACAGTGTTGCTTGGAACAGCAGGACTCCTGCGAAGATAAATCTGCAGTTCCCAAGAACTTGGATTGCTCTCAGATTGGAGAACACCATCTACCAGTCACATATCTAATTGTGACAAATCATTACCATCACACAAAAGTTCTCATTTGGCCTGGCATCCACACCAGAGTAAGAGTTTGTTGTAGCCATCGCCCCACCGGTCCCTAATTATCCTGTTTCTGTGTTTTCCCCCACTTTCTTGCCATCATTCCAAAACTTGGTTTGGTACAATGTATGATTTTTGGGGGGAAAGATCGCAGCCAAAGCTTTGCAAGCTATGTGGATGGGAAAGTGAATTTTTCCGTAGGTCCTGTCCACACCAGCACCATTTTCCTTCCCTCAATCTTCCACAGCCCCCATACCACCCCCTGCACCACCAGAGAGCTCGTTCAGGCTTTGCAGAGTGATCTCCCAGAACCTAGTCTGACACTGAAACCACCACGGCACACTACACTGTCTCTCTATAGTCCCAGTATACCCAGAGTCTACGCATTACCTACCTCTGTGCATGTAAACAAGGATTTCCTTATGGCCAGCTTCATGACTGTTGTCGTTTTCATCACCGATAGTGATAGTCAACGTGTTTGTAGAGCTCACTGACGGACTCCCGCTATCAGTTATAATAATGGGCAGATAGAAAACCTTCTGCTTCTCTCTATCAAAGGACCTCAGAGCAGTAACCGTTGCTGTATCATTTCCATTGTCAGTCACAGAGAAATCCAAAGTGTGCTGATAATCTGGCGGCACGGAAAACATAAATGGTGACCCATTGTCGGCACTGTCCGGATCAAAAGCCCAAATCAAGCTAGATACAGGGGTCATATTCACCAGCTGAGGTCCCGGTGTATTTTCCCAGACCACAGGCATGTACAATGCCTCAAACCCTGGACCATTGTCATTAACATCTAGTAAGTCAATCAATATTGTAACACTTCCGGTTTGGGCAGGAAGACCCTGATCGGAGGCCTGTACAATTAAACTATATTCCTGGGTGACCTCCCGATCCAATACTTTTGCCACCGTCACATGACCGTTTTGGTCTACTGCAAACTCCCCAGTGGGATCTGAATCCAACTTGATGGAATACTGAATGTTTCCATTTGACCCTGAATCCTCATCGACCGCTGTTACTGTGGCGATGGTAGTGCCCACGGGTATGTTTTCAAAGAAAGGGCTCAACTGGACAAACTGAGAGCTGAAAACGGGACTGTGGTCATTGCAGTCTTCAACTTCGATCAAGCAAAAGGCAACACTGTAAAAATCCAGGTCCTCCACTTTGATTGTGAGGTTATAACGTCTTTCATGGGGCTGCTCGTAATCCAGACTCTTTTTCAGCCTGATACTCGCACGCTGGTCTCCTTTACGGCTTTCAATGTAAAATTTCTGTTCTGGATCTCCCCCGATAATACTGAATGTTAAGTCAGCATTTTCCCCACTGTCCCCATCGGCTGCCACCACTTCCAGAACCTCCGAGTCAACAGCACTGGTTTCGGGGATTATGGCATGCCAAATATCCTGTGTGAAACTAGGGATGTGATCGTTTACATCCGCAACCCAGATGGTGGCGGTACCCGTTCCAGCCAGACCTCCTCCATCTTTGGCTTCAACAGTAAGGAAATATTTCTCGGCCTTCTCCCTGTCCAACATTCCTCCCGCTACATATATGTTGCCAGTTGCAGAGTTGACTTCAAACAAGTCTTCACCGAGCTCGTTTTTCACATTCTCAAGTAGACGGTAAGTCAGGATGGCGTTGAGACCTACATTGGAGTCATCCAGGTCGATAGCTGTCATCTCCATGACCAAAGTATTGTCAGGGGAATTCTCAAAGACACTCCCATTGCAATCACTGGGCATACAAGTGAACATCGGGGTATTATCATTTATATCCCAGACATTTATAACCACATCTGCAAATCCAGTAAGACCTTCTCCTCCTTCATCAGTTGCCAACACGACAAATCTCCAAAGGGCTCTCTCTTCCCGATCTAACATCTTCTGGGAATAGATGCTGCCAGTGTTCTCATCTATTGCAAAGACATCGTCTGCTCCGTGTCCATGTAATGAGTATCTTATGTCGCCTCCATCCAGGCTACTATCAGGATCGTTTGCTGCAACCTAGAGAGAGTGAAATTAAAAATGAAACAGTCTGTAACCACAGAATATAAATATTCAGGATATGTTCAACAATGTTAAGGTAAAGTGTGCTGTCGAGTCACAACCGTCTCATGGTGACCCCATGAATTTCCGCCTCCTGGGGTTTTCAAGGAAACAGATGAGCCGAGGTGGTTGGCCCTTGCTTTTCGCTGCATTCCAACAGTGTAGAAACAGATGTATACACTGCACCAGGGAGAACAGACGGCAGCACCCTTGTGAAGTGCCAACACCGGTATGTTTCACATGGAATCTACCAGCCCTGATATGGCCCATGCACATTATGTACAGAACACACTGATGAGCATATCCAAGAGGATAACCATCTGTGCTACAATACCTCCACAAAACAGCCTGAATTTACTTTTCCTCCACGAAACATGTTGTCAAAACTGAATTCGGTAGGTCTACTGGAATCGTCGTAGTGACGTGTGAGCCATGTAACTAAATTGATCTTGACTGCCTGTTCTAAAAAACTGACCACAACTGTGACACCGTGTCAACAAGTGGCATTGTTTGTGAGCTGCCTCATTTATTAGTGCCCGTAATATGATTGAAGGGGCCCCCAGTGTCCTCTGCAACCAGCAGTCACAAACCACTGACACACTGGGATGCAGAGGTTACTGGTGCCACTGCAAGCTAGCCTAAAGCTTTCCCTCCATTATGCTTCACCTTCTGACAAGTGAAGAAGCACCAGCTCGGCCCCCAACCACAAATCAGTGCTTGGGAACCCATCGGGCTACAGGGCTACAGTCATGCTTATCCCCCACTCCTTCAGAGGAAGTAACGGGCAGAAGTAGATGATGACGATAAAGTGACGTCAAGTTGCAACTGATTTGTTGAGACCCGTCATGGGGTTTCCAAGGCAAGAGATGAGCAGAGGTGGTTTGCTGTTGCCTTCCTCTGCACAGCAACTCTGGTCTTCTTTGGTGGTCTCCCATCCAAGTACTAACCATGGCCAGTCTTGCTTAGATTGAAAGCTCTGCTGACTTGGGCTAGCCTAGGCTACTGTGGCTGCTAGAAATAAACAAGAGGCCAAACTGATACGTCCCCCCACCTCCCACCAATGGGAGACAGGGGTTCCTTTGCCTTCCCATGACCTGCTGCGCCGGAAATGTCAGCAAGGAGTAGGGCTACCCCTAAGAGGCCTTGTTGCATGATCATGCTTAAGTTTGTTTTTTGGTGAGCATACCCAAATGTACCTGAAGGACAAAGACCGGGAGACCGTCTAGTTCCTCGATCACACTTCCGTAATACTCATTAAGACCAAAAACAGGCGCTTCATCGTTTTTGTTCACAATGTTAACGATCACAATGGCATAATCCTCCCACTTCCCATCAGAAGCCAAGAGGTGGAGTTCATACAGCTGCAGTTCTTCATAATCCAGCGGCTGGGCAATGAAGATGACTCCTGTTTCTGGCTTGACATCAAACACTCCTCCAGCGTTCCCCGCTGTTATCTGGTATCTTAATTTTGCATTGGCACCTGAAAATGCAACAAAAGTGTTGCATAAAATATCGCAGTTATGATTATTAGGCACTCCTGAGCATTCCTGAAGAGCATTCAAACCCAGCTTTCATATCACTTATACCAAACAGGATCATTATTAATCATCCCTGTTATTGCTTCTAACCACCATTCTCTGAATTAATCACACCAATGAATTTCTATCCTTATTAACATCTGTTCAAATTATTAATGTTCCATTTCTTTCTCAAAGGTTGTTTTTTTTTGGCAACAGCTTATAATTAAATAATAAAGGCAAGCCATTAACACAGGGTCTTGTAAAAACAGATATTATATGAAAAACAATAAAAACTGCTCCCTGCTCTCCACCTACATCCCATCCCACTCCAAGCTTTCGGCTGAAGCCACTCTGCTGGCACAGAATATTCACAAACAGTCTAGCTGTTCCAGAGAAAGGTGCCACCAACAGAATGTTGACACATGGTGCAGCTTCAGTGAAGGAAGCAAAAGCAGGCACTGCTGTCTTCTAAAAACTGCCCCACCCCATTTACTGTACTTTCAATAAACTGCTCTTTGATACTACCCCATGCCTTGGTATAAGGTAGAGAAACAATGGACTGCCGAAACTCCCGTATGAAGGAGATCTTATTTCAAAGTGCATTATGTTGTCTATCTTCTCATGGTCAACTTTGAAAATGAGACCACGACCTTCTTAAATGTCAACCCAGAACATGTTCACTAGTTAACTCCTAGTGAATTCAACATCACTAATTTCTAGATAAGTGCAGTTTACAATGGAAGCCTTTGGTAGACACAAAGTGAAGGATGCTGATGAACTAACAAGGCACGTAAATCAGTATAAATGAGCTCTTTTTGTTGGAAAAGGCAATGTCTGGCATACAAAGAAGTAGAGGAGAAGACCCTGCAGGGGGCAGCAAGAAGACAATTAGATAGGATTCTCTCCTTTTAAATGTCATTCCTTGTCTGTCTCCAGATTGCCACTCTCAGGGCAATTTCCCCCTTCTTCTCTGAAGTGCCACGCTCAGTCTTACCCTCTCTCTCAGCTAGAGATGTCGTTAGGAACCTAGCTCTGTCTCCCCTCTTTCCTATCATGCATGTTAATTCCTAAATAAACCTTTATCTACTCTTTAATCGGGTTGTGCATCGTTGCTGTGTTAATTACTCCGCCAACAATTTATGGTTTCTCTTTTGTTTCAAGCTTGTTCTTTCAGCCCTGTGCGATATTTCTGATTGTCCTTGCTGCCATGGACAAAAATTCAAACTGCATGTAAAACATGAGCCCCGAATCAGTGCTTACAATACAGCACTTTTTTCTCCTGTGTTCAAGCTATGACAAAAATGGAATCTTACAAAGCAATGATAACCAGCACAGTGCTCACGGAGCAACATGACACCCAGGGCTCTTTTTGTAGAAAAAGCCCAGCAGGAACTCATTAGCATAATAGGCCACACCCAACAGCAGACACTCATTAGCATATTAGGCCACACCCTGACAGCACCGCTCATTAGCGCATTAGGCCACACCCCCATGTTACCAGAAGTGTGGTCATCCAGTCACACCCACCTTTCCCTTCTTATTCTGTTGTCCAAACCCAGGGCTTTTTTTGTAGCAGGAACTCCTTTGCATGTTAGGCCACACACCCCTAATGTAGCCAATCCTAATGAGTTTCTGCTGTTGGGTGTGGCCTATTATGCTAATGAGCTCCTGCAGGGTGTGGCCAACTCAGGAGCCAGCTGGAACTCCGTTCCTGTGCGTTCCTGCCCAAAAATAGCCCTGCACCTACCGGTGGATGTCCTGTCATACATTTGCTTCTTTGACCAGCCATCTCTTCCCAAAGCAAAGAGCCAATCCTGGCTTTCCTCCACCTCACTGGGGCTGGAGGTGCTTCAGAAGAACCCGGAATGTGTCACCACTGTGTCTGCAGGGAGCACCCATTTGGAAACAGCTGCCTCCGCCACAGGAAGATGCTTGGTTTGGAACTTCCCGATATTTTGTGGAATTTTTCCAAACATTATGACAGGAACTAGTCCCCACAACATAGTCCATTTGTGGCTGGTCCTACCCACCCTGTGGCAGCCATTTTTCTTGTGGTGCCACTGCCCACTGCCTAGATATAAACTAGGACAGGAGACCCTGACTTGTGAGCGACTGGCATTAAAGTTGTGAGTGAGCAATTTGGCTATTGCATAAATTAGTTTGCTCTGGAGCCATCCTTCCTGAGCTGAGGCAGAAATCTGTGAGCCGGAGGCTAAAAATCTGTGAGCTGGCTCACACCAACTCAGCTTAGAGGGAACTGTGGTGCCCACTGCCTAGATATAAACTAGGACAGGAGACCCTGACATGGTGCCCATGATCACCACGGCGCCCACTGACACCTTGCCTGGTGCCCAACAAGTGTTTCTAAAAAGTGGACTGTATAGCCTCTGTAACGCCCTTTTACTTTTTTGCTAGTGCCTAACCTCTAGTGCCTGGGAGGATGGCCAGCAGGCTGCTCCCCAGAGAACACTTCTGCCTGTTTTCATGAGTACTTTCCCAAGTTCTTATCTAAGAAAGCTGACTTGTTCTCCTCCGCCACTGGGTACCAGGTGCAAGATATGGCTTGACTATTCTCAGCGTTTAGGGATGTAACTTTGATGACAATATTCTTGACTTGTAGCCAGCAACTGGGATATAAGATATTTAGTTTTAGTTATCTATCTCATCTCGGGTTTCAGCTAGCTTCGCTCTGTGTGAGGCCCAGCGGATGGAAGTTAGCCTGCTATTTCTGTAAGTCTGATCTTTCTTTCTTTCTTTCTTTCTTTCTTTCTTTCTTTCTTTCTTTCTTTCTTTCTTTCTTTCTTTCTTTCTTTCTTTCTTTCTTTCTTTCTTTGGATTTACTAGGCCGCCCTTCCCCAAAGTAGGGCTGAGGGCAGCTTACAACAGGATAGTATACATTCTCGATATAAACTAAATTAAAACAGTCCAATACATACTAGTGGATAAAAAAAGTGTATATACAATATATAAGATGGCGGAGAAACCCTAACTCGCCAGTCTCCCCTGGGGGGAGGGGTAATAAGGGATGGGGAATTATATGAGAATGACAAAAGAAGTTCTGTCGCTGTCCTCAACCGAAGGCCCGGTGGAACATCTCTGCCTTGCATGTCCTGCGGAAAGGTAACTGCTCCCGCAGGGCATGGATATCTTCCGGCAGAGCGTTCCACCAGGCAGGGGACAGGGCTGAGAAAGTCCTGGCCCAGGTCGAGGACAGTCGGACTTCTCTCGGGCTGGGGACCACCAGCAAGTCCTTATTTCCTGAGTGTACTGCTCTTCCAGGGGCATACTGGAAGAGGTGGTCCCGAAGGTACGTAGGTCCCTGACTGCTAAAGGTCAAAACCAAAACCTTGAACCTGATCCAGTGCTCTTTGTAAGCAAACCTGGATTTTGCCTACCATTTTCTTGGGATTGCTGCGAACCTTGGCACTTCTGGCCAGGACTCCAAACATGGGCATAGCCAAGGGCTGCCAAGCCGCGGGGGGGGGGATTCATACGTCATCACAGGATCCCTGCCGCGGGGGGACAGCGATACACACTGCACCGGCGTCACCAGGATGTGACGCTACACGTCGCTCTGGCAACGGGACTCCAAACAGCCCCGTTGCCAGAGCGACGCGTAGCGTCACATCCTGGCGACGCCGGTGCAGCGTGTATCGCTGTCCCCCCGCGGCAGGGATCCTGTGACGACGAACGGATCCCCCGCCGCGGCTTGGTAGCCCTAGCATAGCCAGGTAGGGTTCCTGAGTGGCCACTGGAGCTCTGTGTGGCTGTGCAGAATAAAATAACATTTCAACAACAGCTGCCACCCCAGTACTGGTTTTATTTTCTCTCACTCCAATTTCCTAGCGCATGTGTCTAAATGACTCCTCTTGCTCCCTCCATTTGGGCTTCCACTGTGTGCGTGCGTATGTCTCTGCCACCCGCAGCGGCAATTTTCGTGGCTGTGCCCGTCACTGTGTCAGATTTCCAAAGGCGCCCACAGGCTCAAAAAGGTTGAGGGCCCCTGAACTAGGAACTTATCGGTTCATGAATGCTCTTTCCCCTCTACCAGCTCTTACTCTTTGGATTTAGGGTGAGGTTCACTCTGTTAATGCTAGAGAATCCTGCCCTCTCCAACAACCCATTTTCACTACTCTGCTTCCAGCTCTCTGCTGCCTTTTGAAAGAGATGTGCTGCATAACAAACACAGCATCATTCACCCCCCCCCCAAACTGAACTATGCCTAATGCACAGTCTTCCATAAATAGAGTTATTTGGCATAAGTCTCACAGGCCCTTTATAAACCTCAGAGCCTGTCAAGTTCAGACAGAGTGAAGGCTTTTTTTAAAAAAAAAGTAGAGAGACATATGAGACATTTTCCTTCCCGCTGCTGTTCAAGTATATCTCCTCACTCCTGAAAAAAAAATTAACTCATTAATATTTCAGGTGCTGCTACAGGGAATTCCAGAGATTTACCTTCGTCTTCATCATTAGCACCAACGGTAATGACAGTCGATCCCACGTCTCGGTCTTCATCTACATTAACTTCGTAGACGCTCTGGGTAAAGACAGGTTTGTTGTCGTTCACGTCACTGATAAAAACACGCACGTAGGCCGTGTCTGGAGAGACGGGCGGGGGAGAGACAAGAGATTAAAACACTCAGCCGTGCTTCTTCTGTCAGCTGCAATTCCTTAAACTGTCTAGCTGCACATTAAATGAAGACGAATATCACAGAGGATACAGAAAAAGGAAAAACCCTTAGGGTCGCGGACAATTTATAATACCTACATTACTTCAAAAAAAAAAGGAAAGGGGAAAAAAGCACTTGGGTATCAAATGAATGTCACATCCAATTTTCTTAAGCAGATAACATGCGCGTTAACTGACATCTATTATGACAATTGTATAGTCGTGTCGTAGCTTTTCTGTCCTGAAGACGACAGAATCCAATTTTAACTTCTCCTTTAAAAACGGAGCCAAGTCAAATTGCTAATCGGATTCCCTCGAGAGTCTTGACCTTTTCTGTAGCAGAGTATCTTTATGGACCGTGATGGTCTGTGCAACTCCTCCATGAGATGGTTTATGCAGTTCAGAAGCCCTACGCAGATATGCTTCTGTGTACAAGCCTATGCACGGTAGCAGGTGGATTATGGAATCATGTCTGCTCCCAGGCTTACCTAACCTCTGCACGTTGGATCTTGCACTGGAACAAGGGCCTGTGCATACAGGGCTCAGTGCATGGAAGTCCATGCTAGAAAGATAGCTCTCTCTCAAAATTAGAAAGAAGTTACATACTCCGACTGAGTCGGCTGAGGCTAAACCCAGCAAAGACGGAGGTTCTGGGTTTGAGTCACTGTGGTTTGGGGTTGGGGCTCCCGCTCCCGACCTTTGAGGGGGCGCCTTTGGTGCCAGCGTCGGAAGTTAGGAGTTTGGGGGTGCTTCTGGACTCCACATTATCTATGGAGGCCCAGGTAGCAGCCACTGCCAGGGCGGCCTTCTACCATCTTCAGCTGGCTCGGCAGTTGGTTCCCTTTCTCGACCGCAACAACCTAGCCACAGTGATCCATGAGACGGTCACCTTGAGGCTAGACCATTGTAACGCTCTCTACATGGGGCTGCCTTTCTTTCAAATCCGGAAGCTGCAGCTGGTGCAGCCAGGCTGTTGATGGGCCTTCCTAGGGGGGCACACATCCAGCCTGTGCTGAAAGCACTGCACTGGCTGTCGATAGCATACCGGATTCGCTTCAAAGTGCTGGTTCTTACCTTTGAAGCCCTAGATGGCCAGGGTTCGACATACCTACGGGACCGCCTCTCCCCATATGTTCCCCAACGAGCACTACGGTCCGGGACTAAACATCTCCTGGTGGTTCCAGGTCCCAAAGAGGCCAGACTAGCGGCGACTAGGGCTAGGGCTTTTTCGGTGGCGGCTCCTACCTGGTGGAATGAGCTCCCAGAGGAGATCCGGGCTCTGCAGGACCTTGCACAGTTTCGCAGGGCCTGCAAGACGGAGCTCTTCTG